GGGGACAGCTGGGGACACCTGGGGACACCTGGGTGAGCCTGGGGACACCTGGGGACAGCTGGGGACACCTGGGGACACCTGGGTGAGCCTGGGGACAACTGGGGACACACCTGGGGACACCTGGGTGAGCCTGGGGACAACTGGGGACACCTGAGGGGAGCTGGGGACAACTGGGGACACCTGAGTGAGCCAGGGGACACACCTGGGGACACCTGGGGGGAGCTGGGGACACACCTGGGGACACCTGGGGACAGCTGAGGGGAGCTGGGGACACCTGAGGGGAGCTGGGGACACCTGAGTGAACCTGGGGACACCTGGGGACACTTGAGTGAGCCTGGGGACACACCTGGGGACACCTGGGGACACACCTGGGGACACCTGGGGGGAGCTGGGGACACCTGGGGACACCTGAGTGCATCTGGGGACACACCTGGGGACACTTGGGGACACCTGAGCGTGCCTGGGGACACCTGGGGGGACCTGAGGGGAGCTGGGGACACCTGAGTGCACCTGGGGGGACACCTGGGGGCACCTGAGCACGGCTGGTCATGGCTGAGGACGCACCTGGGACCCCTCCCTGTGTCCCCTGGGTGTCCTCACTCTCACCTATGTCACACCTGTGTCCCCAGGACCCCTCCCTGTGTCCCCCGGGTGTCCTCACTCTCACCTATGTCACACCTGTGTCCCCAGGACCCCTCCCTGTGTCCCCCGGGTGTCCTCACTCTCACCTATGTCACACCTGTGTCCCCAGGACCCCTCTGGGACCCCTCCCTGTGTCCCCCGGGTACCCCTCACCTGTCCCCCACTTGTCCCCAGGTGCTCCCCAGGTACCCCCCCACCTGTCCCCAGGTGTCCCCCACCTGTCCCACCTGTCCCCCAGGTGTCCCCCCAGGTGTCCCCTCCCTCACCGTGCCCTGGGGGCTCTGGCTGGGCACCACCATCCTGACGCCGGCGGGCAGTGACGTCACCGTCACCGGGGCCTTGCCGGGCGCGGCCGAGCGCACCGTGACCAGCGGGGGTCCCGCCGTGCCCGCGGGGGTCCCGCTCACCTTCAGCACCGCCGGCACACCTGGGGGAGGGACACGGGGCGG